TTACTTTTCTTATCTACCTCCTCTCTCTCTCTCTCTCCCTCTCTCTCCTTTTCTTTTTTTTAATTTTCCTACAGATACATAAAAGTAATCTTTTTTTATTTCAGTAATTAAAAAAAGGCAAATCTTTTTTTTTCATTCCAGTAAAATTTCAACTTTTTTTTTCAAGTAAGAATTTTTTTTTAGTAAAATTTCAACTTTTTTTTTCAAACATAATTTTTGTCAAAAAAAAATTTAAAATTTTTTTAAGAAAAAAAAATTTTCAGGAAAAAATTTTCATTTAACGATAACAATCGATACAAAACCGGCACAGATAGCAATCATTGGTAAAGCAATCAAGGTTACTGTTGATGGTCCCCGTGATTCTCGAACAAATAAGCGTACGGGTGAAATTATATTTCTTTCAATTTCATTACCATAATCCTTCTTCTTCTTCTTTCCCTCTTAATTTTTTTTTTTGTTGTTTATTTTCAAATTTAAAAATTTGTTTTGAATTAAACAAGTAAACGAGAAAACAATGAAACTTTAATTAAAACAATATTTTTTTAAATTTACTTGTAAAAATTTTAATAAATGAAATTTAAATAATTTCATTTCCTTCCTTCTTTTCCCTTTTTTTTTTTATTAAAATTTTGCCAAAAAAGAAATATAATTTTGGAAAAATTTGGAATAAATTATAAAATTTTTAATTACAATTATTAATTATTATTTTTCCCATTACATACATTTTTGTATATATATGAATTTAACAAAAAAAAAAATAAAGTTTGAAAAAAAAAATTTTTTTTTTTTAGCATTAATGCGTCATACTAGTAGATCAATTTCATCTGATGATTGTCCCATTACAAGCAAAATTCGTCGCCGTATTTCTACGACACCTATTCCAAGACCAATACCTACTAATACTTTAATGCCAACACCAATTCCGGTTTTTCCTTCTCTTTTCAATCCGTTTCCATTTATTTCAAATCCATCCATACCTCCACCGGTATCGTTGAATTTTCCTCATTCACCTTTATTAAATCCAACTACGACAATTATTCGACAACCTATCCAACCTTTTGTTACACCTTTACCGGCTGTTTTAACACAACGTATTCGACAGTTACCTCAACCGGGTGCAAATGAACAACCAATTGGTACAAGGACAAGACGAAAAGCAACAAAAATTTGGAAACCATATGATATTAAATCATGAAATTAAAAATTTTTAAATGTAAAATTTTGATTTTATTTAATATTTTACAATTCAATATTGTATATTAATTATGTATTTCTAATGATTATACATAATAATTATTCCTTAAATAATGCATATATTGAATGATTTAATTTATTTAACTTTTCAATTATTGATTTATTCATTATAAAAGAAAAATTCTTTGATTAAAATTAGAATCATTAAATTAAAAAAAAAAACAAAAAATTTGT